AAAATCAGGTGAGGTGGGGAGACTGTCAGGTGCCAAAGGTATCTACAGGCTCTCAACAGATTATATATGTTCTTATTAATATTACTGATGACTTTTTCACCGGCAAATTAAAAGGCATATATTCTGTTCTTGAATGTTCTTCTCCACTGTATTTGACACAATGATTGTTTCCTGCTTATCTTCCTCCCCACACACTATAACTAACACAGTCCAGTTAACTTCCATCTTCATTCATGCATTTTTTCCTAAATAGTCTTCCTCTCATATACTTCAATATATTTCCACTTATCCAGTTTGTTACCAGTTATTCCCCTCTAACATTGGTGACCTTGTGACATTCTTCTTCTAATTCTTTCATTTCCTCTCTCAAGCACAAATTCATTTTCTTTTTGAGGTTATTCATTTAACCCCCTCTTTATCTTCCTGTTTGTTCTTTGATATATCTGTCCCTGTGACCTCCACTCTTCTAAATCAACCAACCAACCAACCGACCAACCAACCAACTCTCTTAGCTGAGAGTTTCCTGGCTATTGATGCTTGGAGACTTCAACACCCATGCCAAGGCTAGTCTTTTGGGCTCAGGTCAGGAATGAATAGCTGCCATGACTTCCATGCACCTGTTGCAATTGTTATCTGCCTCCACTCACCAGACAGAACACAACCTTTTGCACCAAGGTTAGTACTCCATGGGTGGAGGAAATAGATATCACTCTGTCATGAAGAGATCACTAACTGGTTAGGGTGCTTCTGATGGCTTTGCCCCTCCCCTGCAAAGATGCAGGGGCCAATTTTGAGGACTCAACCATGGCAACTTCTAGATCCGATGGAATTCTAGAATTCTTTTGTGGAACTGTTTGCTGGATACTCCAGCAGACTGGAGTATCCAACTATCTTTCATAGGCTGTGGACTTGTTGGCTTCTAATAATCCTCTGCCTGCCATCAAGCTTTTAGGTCTCCTTGGTTTATTATGGAGCTGCAGGCTATGAGGCAGAGAAGCAAGCAGATATGTAGGATTAGGTGTCTCAGGAAGACAGTGGCAGCAGGAACATCCAAGCTGTTACCCAAAAGCAGAAGGCAGGACCAGGCTGTGAAGATTCTGAAGGCTTCTGAGAGAGGATGTTTGAGGCCACCAACCTTCCACAATCGGCTGTTCTGCTACATAGTTGTAGTTCATTCTTAGCAAAAGTGGTTAAATGGGTGATGGCTGAACAACTCTTTGCACTCCTGGATGATACTGAGTCCAGAAAGTCTGAGGGTTTGATAACTGACAATAACTATCTGATTGGAGAGAACTTTATCAACTCTTTATCACACTTCTGAAAGAACAGACACACAGCCTAGGAGTGCTTCTTGACTTTACACTTGTTCTTGAGTACTCAGCTGAGTGTGATCACAAGGGGGCGGGGGGAGAGAATTGATTTACAATTTCACCTTGGCACCTGTGATCCCTGTTGTGATTCCCTCCTAAAAAAATCATTATAATGTGCTTTACATAGGGATGTCTTGCAACACAGCCAGAATGGTGTTTTCCATTGGGAGTATGTGATTCCTGTCCTGGCTCAGTTGCTTTTTGAGCCCAATTCAAAACACTTGTTTCAACACACAAAGTTACTATGGGTTGGGTCCTGCTTACTTAAAGGAATGACTTCCCCATTGTGCTACTAATTAAGACTTTTGTTCATCCTCTATGGGCTTATTAAATTGTTGCCAGGAAAGAAGTCTGGTTAGAAACAACTAGGGCCAGGGTGTTCTCGGTGGCAGTACCAACAATGGGGAATTCCTTCTTCACTAAGGTGCAGACTTCATCCCCACTAGCTGATTTTAAGAGAAAATTGAAAATCTATTTTTATATGTAAGCATTCAGTCTTTAATCTTAGCACTTTCTCTACAATGCATCTATGATGGTGCCTTGAGACTTTTATTTATTCTTTCTACTAATATTTATTGTTTTATCTGATGACACTAACTGATATTAGCTGCTGCTGATTGTTTTTGTTGTACTGTAAACAGTCATGGGCAGGTGCACCACGGGAGTGTGGGTGTAAAGTTGTCAATCAATCAATCAATCAATCAATCAATCAATCA